CCCCAAAACCCCAAAACCCCAAAACCCCGTGTGATTGGCTTTACTGAGATTAAAGAGTTTGTGAATTTAGGTATGATATAAATATTTAAGTAAAATTTAAAATGAAAACTAGATCAGAAACACAAACAGCAGCCAAACCTGTTGATGTCACAATTATTGATACATCGCTAAAGCCAAAAGCACCGGTCAATAAAAAACGAAAATTAGACTAAATTTCTTCAAGTGTTCCACCAGCTAACGATCCAGTACCAAAGACTTACAAGAAACTCAAAACAGTAGATAAAATCAAATCATCCGCCATTGCAAGTAATGATGCTAAAGCTACTTCTGACCAGAATCAACATATCTAATCTGCCATTCCAGCAGCAAAGGCACCCAAATTATCTAGAGCAAATAGCAAAAAGAACAAAGAAGAGTAAAAATAAGAGGAGAATAAGAATGATAAAGACTAGGGATAGCTTGGAGCTTTAAATCAGAAAGCAGACCAATTATATAAAAATATCAGCAAATTTTTCGTTCCCAAGCCCTTTACTTAGCTGAATGACAAATTTGGAAGTTTGACTAAATATATTGAAGTTACTGTACTAGAGCTTCTCAATAAAGTCAAAGAAGAGGAAATAAATAATCATCGTAAGAAAGGTGAGGAAGAGAACTGTCCGATCTGCATGTGTGAACTATATGAAAACCTAGAAAAAATGAGCGAGCAAGAGATAAAAGAGATGCACGAAAAATAGATTAAGCAAGAATTACCTATTGAAGTAGTGGTAATGAGTAAATGCACAGATCATTGCTATCATAAAGAGTGTCTCGTCGCTTAAATGGGATAATAAGAATGTATCAGATGCGCAGTATGCTCATAAATATACGGTGTTCTTACTGGCGGCATGCCTAAAGGTACTATGAGTTGGAAATTAACACCTAAGAATAAGAACTACTACTGCGACGGATATAAGGACTTTGGAGTTTGGGAGATTAGATATGATTTTCCAGATGGTATCAGAAATGGAGTCAAGTATCAAGGTACAAGACGCAGAGCATATATACCAGATATCCCTGAAGGAAGGGAAGTCCTGACTCTATTAGTTAAATCTTTTGAGCGTAGACTATCTTTCCTGGTTGGCACATCTGTAACAACTGGCCAACAAAATTGTGTCATTTGGAATGTTCATCACAAGACTAACACTCATGGTGGAAGCAGCTGCTTTGGATACCCAGACCCTACTTACCTAAACAGAGTTAAGTTAGAACTGGCTGACAGAGGAGTGTTTTTAGAGAATATACATGAGGTTGAAGCAGTCACTCTTAATGGAAATGGGCAAAGCTATGTAAATTGAAATGTGTTACTTGATTAATAGTTTAAATTCTCTTATAAATTTACTGGAGATTATCATGATTTTAGTGCTATGGGGTTTTGGGGTTTTGGGGTTCAGAAATAAATTCTTATTTTAAATATT